GGTAGCAACATGCTTCTTGTGTTCTTCGAGCGTTTTCGAGAATATGAGGATGTCATCCAGGTATACTACGACGAATTTGTCGAGGCATTCTCGTAGTACCGTATTTATCATATTCTGGAAGCTGGCTGGTGCATTGGTCAAGCCAAATGGCATGGCCAGGTATTCAAAGTGACCGTACTTGGTTCTGAATGCCGTTTTCCATTCGTCGCCTTCTTTAATCCTGATCAAGTTGTATGCGTTGGGCAAATCTAGGGCCGTAAACCATTCGGCTCCGTGCAATTTGTCGCGCAGGTCCTTGATCAAGGGTAAGGGGTAACGATTCTTCTTCGTGATTTCGTTGAGTTCTCGATAATCGATGCACATTCTCCATTTGATGCTTCCGTCATGGCTTTTCTTGGGTACAAACAGTACCGGAAAGCCTGCTGATGATGTTGATGCTCGGATAATTCCTTTTCTGAGTCCTTCAGCTATGTGTTCTTTTAACACTTCTTCGTGCTGAGGTTTGACCGGGTAGATTTTCATGAATCTGGGTTCCTTTCCCTCTTGGAGTGGAATCTCATGGTCAAATACCGAATGCGGCGGTAATCCTGTGTCGAGCTTTCCGCTGAACAGTTTTCTGAACTTGTTGTATTCTTCGGGTATTGTTTTGTTTGAGTTCAGTTTGACATCTTTGGTTACTAGATAGAATCCAAATGTCTTAGGCTTGCTTGAGGGTTTCTCCGAACGCTTCTCAGAGGCTAAGTCTCTACTTGGTGTATCCCACTGGAAATGGCCTGTGATCCAGTTTACTCTGGGATTGCTCGCTCGCAACCAAGGTATCCCTAGGACTAAGTCGTAGTCCGTAATTTCGGTGATGTCGCATTGGAGTTGTTCCTCTCGATCTTGGATGTAAACGGGGATATGCGCAGTCTCTCTGCTTACAAGTCCGTTGTCGTAAGTAACAAATTCTCCATCTACCGTTCTGAGTGTGTAGGGCGTCGTTTTCTGCTTCCAATCGATCTGGAGCCTGTTGACGATTTGTGGCGAGATAAAATTTCCTTGAGCACCCGTGTCTACTAGGGCCTCAATATCGTGTCCCATGATTCGAACCTTTATCGTGAGGTGATCATGTATGTTAGTTGTGGCAATGCACAGGGACCTTTCTTCTAACCGTTGCTGTCCCGTTACAGACGGTTGGGTTCTTTTCCCGATCCTGTCTTGATAGGTCGGCGTCGCTCTCGACGTTCTGTGGCTTCTTGTATAGCCTGAGCGTACCCGCGCTGTTCGCTTGCTTCGTAGTCCTCTTCCTGAGTTCCTGGGGTATTGGCTCGTCGTCCTGTCGCGGTCATCGCGAGGATTGCGTAGTTTCGCAATGTTTCTGTCTGAGGTGGAATGACTCCGTCTTGTTCCAACTCGTGTTGTCGATCTCGTATCCATCTCTGGATTCTACTGCTAGGTAGATTGTCAGGGGTTGGTGCACGTCCGTAGATCGTGACTTGATCTGTTGGTTCGATGCTGGTTCTCTGGCGATACAACTCCAGACTGAGTTGTCCCCATTGTCGGTAAACGTCCCGATATATTTCCCTGAATGACGGCCAGCCGTTGCTGTCGTCGTATTCTTGATACATCCTTCGCTCGACTTCTTCGAGTAGGTATCTGTGATCGTCGTATCCTTCCTGAGGGGCTGATCCCTTCCTGAGGTCTTTTCTGATAATTTCGACTCCTGTTAGTCCTTCGTCGGAATCTTCGTCCATGGTGTCACTACTGTCATCGACACTAGGGGTTTTCTTGTTCTGTCGTTCTCTCAGTCGATCGCTCATTTCCGCAATGTCGTTGAGCTCTTGGAGGTCGATACGTTTTTCTGGGTTCCGTGTGAGGTGGTAGAGTAACTGATCTAACCTCGTGTCCATCGTAGTTTTTACGATGCGGAATGCTTTCTGTTGGTGGTATTGCTGTAATCCTCTCCACGCGCGACATTTCCGGTCGGCGTGTTCCATGCAGTAGTTGTTTGGGCATTGGTCCCAGTCAACTTGCTCCTTAAGGCAAGCGAAGTATTGGCGAGGGTCCGTGGTGACGATAGCGTATCCCTGCGGGTCTCGGTATTGTACCACTACTTCTCCAATCTCATCGGCCAAGTAAGGTTTGTTGATGGACCATGATGCGATTCTGCTTGGAAAGAACTCGTGCTTCAATTTTTCTTCGAGGTGGAACGTGCAGTTCCTGTCGATGCATGAGGTCCAAGCGAGTGTTCCGTGTCCTCTGCTGTTTTTGTACAATATCTGGTCATCTCCAAATATGGCTCCTGGTGTCCATTTTTCCCATCCCGTGGTGCTGAGGTCTTGTGCGTCGTTCAGTACTTGGTACAATTCTTGTGGGGTATGGAATGATTGTCCTGCGAAGATCATAGCTCCTGTTTCTTCGAGGGTGTTTTCAGCGAGTATTCGTGGAAACTCTTGTGTTCGAATAGCTCGATCCATAAGGTATCGAAGTTTCGCTATACTGTTCTCTCGGTGGAGTTTTCCTTGGTAATTCTTCTGTTCGGCGTCTTCTCGTTCTACCGAGAGACGTGCGTCTTCTTCGAGACTGTCTTCCGATTCGTACTCGGATTCGTTTTCTAGACGTGTGGGTCCGTCATATTCCTGGGCAGCCCGTATGTGTTCCTCTGAACTGCTGTACGTGTCTTCTGCCTGTGTTACTGGTTGTCTCCGAACCATGTGGAAGTTGCGTGGCTTGGAAGGGTACCACCCCTGGTCCCTTTTGCTCGAAGCGTGCGTGCTGCAGCTGTCGCCGTAGCAAAATGTCCAATGCAAGTCCTCGTGCGGTGGTTCGATACGGGTGGTCACGTTGACCTGTCGTTCTTCCGTATTGCTGGTTCTGGTGGCTGCTTGGGCCTGTCTTCCTTCCGGAACGGGTTTGAAACCTTCCTTCTTGGGTTGTCGGCATTCGTTGGCGTAGTGGCCCTTCTTGTTGCAGTTGTAGCAAGTGATGTTGGTCTTGTCCTTTTGGTCCTTCCTAGGTTTGTCGCGCTTGGTGGCGTCGAGGTCCATGGGTCCACTATGGTTGCCATACGAAGTTTTGTTTCGCCATTCGTTGTTTGGTCGGTTGTTCTGTCGAGGTTTGCCGGTGTTTGCCTGTGCTTTCTGGTAACGGTTCTGTCCTCCGTTACTGCGTCGTTCGGTCTTCCTCGCGTACAGTTGGTTGTCGATCCTGATAACCAATTCGCTGTACCTTCCAAATTCCATTGGGGGTTCAAGGATTCTGCTAATCTCATCCTTGACATCTTCCTTAAGCCCTTGGTAATACAGCATGATCTTGGTGTCGTCGGTGCAATCCATTCTAGCAATGACTCTTTTGAAGTCTGCTGTGTATCCGGATGCAGATCCTTTCTGTTTAAGGTGCTCAAGTTCTCTTTCGGCCTGTCGTTTCTCGTCGGGATCTTGGAACAATGATCTGAGTGCGGTCTCATAACCGGTGTATGTTTCGAAGATCTTCTGTGTTTCTCCTTTGCAGAGTTCTAGCTGCCATTCATTTTCGGCGGCTTCAGAGAGATAAGGCTCGAACCACGCGAGGGCTCGCCCTTTCAAGAATGAAGCAGCGTGAAGGACTTTCTGAGTGTCGTCCTTGAAGTTGTTGCCGTAGAATGTTTGATAGGCTCGCACCTGAGCCAGGTATCCTCGGAGAGCTCCGGGGGTACCATCAAATGCAGCGGGAGTACTGAGTCGAAGGTTCTCTGGTTTGACGGGGGTGGAAATAATTCTGGCTGCGCCCGTCATGGCGTTGTTCGTGTCTTGGAGTTCCTTGATCACAGTATCCTTGCGTACTTCTTCTCGCTCAAGGGACTTGATTCTTGTAACCAACTCGAGGTATTGATCCTTGGTGAGTTCGAAGTCGTCTTCTTCCATTTCCTGCGCCAGGCTTCGTGCCGGCTGCTTGGAAGATGATCCATTTCCAACGGAAGACATAGTGCCTAGATATTGCTCAGTACTTTTCGCGGATAACGTACCTGAACAAGAGTGATCAAAATGTGACGATTATACTATCGGGTTGCACAACCACAAATAATATAATACAAGGGGGTTTATGCTAACAAGATATGCTAGCCACGAATAGAAGACTATAGAGATAGACCTTCGAATATACTGAGCAAAGAGATTCACAAGTGTAGTCGTCAAAGCGTGAGCTTCACCTATGGGTAAGATAGATGCTTAGATTGATCACTGAAGTAATGACTGTCTATGTAGAGTAGGGAATCCAATCCTTATTATATCCATTCATTCCTTCACTGTGATAGTTCTGCTCACTGGTGATCAGTAGAGGTATACTGATCACGACTGAGCCCTGTGTCCTTTGATCAGTGTCGCTACACTGATCATCACTGATCATAGCTGAAGGGTCACGTGACCTCATGGTGTCTCCTGGCCAATCACCATGCTGGTTGCCAAGCCTTCCTCTGGTTGGTGCGTTCTGGGGACTTCCCTGCGGCCCATGTAATGGCCTCGTTCGTAACATTAATATATATAAAGAGATATCCTCGATATCTTTAAACGCTTTCCTTAAATAAGCTTATAAATATATTTACTTATACTCTCTTTACTTTACCTCTTAGTATTACTTCAAATTAAGTGCTTCCGCTTAATTAACGTTATATAATATATATATAACTTTAAACATTATATAAAGTTATTTAAAAGGTTATTATATAAGTTTTAAAGTAGTTTAATAAGTTATAATTTATAAATAAAAAGTTAATTATAAAGACATATATAACATTATAAAATGTTATCGAATTTAATTTAATAAAGGTATAACATTATATATTATTAATAAAACTAATAATAAGTTTTAACGTTAATACGTTCTTTTAAATATTTTGTAAATATATTATAAAACTAAATATAAAAGAACTAGTATTATCTCTTTAAAGCTTAAATTAAGGTTTAAATTATATTTATTAATCCGTTTTAATTATATCGTTAAAATAAAGAACGTAATTATAAAGAGAAGAATAAGAGATATATATATTAACGAGATTTAATTTTTCTTATTTCATAATTTTAATATAGTTATAAACCTGAGAAATAAGGACCGCGAATATTAGAACGTCTAAGATCCGAACAATCGTACAAAGCCTTATAAAGATATTTCAAAGATTGTCGCTATGTACTTCCTCGCGGGACATGAGAGAAATCAAGCTGGTAGACTCAGCTTATTCGGGGGTTTCCCTACTATCAGGATAGGCTCTGTTGATTGACGAGCTCAGCGTAGCGACCATTCTTTGCCATCAGGTCGACATGGCTCCCCGTTTCTAGAATTCGTCCTTGCTCGAGAACACAGATTAGATCTGCCTTCTGAATGGTGCTGAGACGGTGTGCTACCGCAATTGTAGTCCGCCCTTCAGCAGCCTTGTCCAGTGCTGCCTGTACCATATATTCTGACTCTGAATCTAGTGCTGATGTTGCCTCGTCTAGAAGTAGAATTCTAGGATTGCGGACCAAAGCTCGAGCAATGGCAATGCGCTGCTTCTGTCCGCCAGATAGTAAGACTCCCTTGCTGCCGACCACGGTATTGAAACCGTCAGGAAGAGACATGATAAAGTCATAGATATTTGCCTCTCGGCAGGCCGACTCAATTGTTTCGTCCAACAGTGCTTCATTACTACTACCAAGAGCGACGTTGTCCCGGATGTTGCCTTGGTAGAGAGTGGGCTCTTGGCTGACGAGAGCGATAAAAGATCGATAGTCTTTGATATTAAGAGTACTTATTTCTTTGTCGTCAATATAAACACCACCTGCCAGCGGGTCATATAATCGCTCTATCAAAGAGATTACCGTGCTCTTTCCACAGCCCGAGGCACCGACAAGAGCGATATACTGGCCGGGCCGTGCGATAAGGTTCACTCCGCGTAGTACTGGTTGTTCTAGACGTGTCGGATAGCGAAAGTGGACGTCGCGTAGTTCGATAGCACCGGAAACTTCTGATAGTGGTTCCCCTTCGTCGGAAGTGGGATCAATAATTGGCTGGCGGTCAAAGAGTGCCTTCAGCTCTTGAGCCGCATGGTGGGCCTTACTCATGTCTGGAGCGAAAGAAAACGTGCCACCAGCCGCTTGACCTCCGACGATGACTGCCATAAAGCAGAGGAAGAATGTATACATATCGTATTCTCCTTTTCCTATCAGCGTTCCGCCATACCAAAAGCCGAGACCGGAGCACAAGAAAGAGAAAGATGTGGCCGCAGCATAAAGTGCGCTAGACGTGAGGATGGATGATAGACCTCGGCGCCGTTGCTGAGCCAAAGACTCTCGGTATTGCTTCAGAGCACCTTGCTCACGGGTGAGGGAGGCGACTGTGCGGATTGATGAGATCGTTTCGGATGCAAATGTTGCAGATGCCGTGTAGGCCGCCCGGGAACGCTGTTGGAAGTGAGCTAACATCCATATGCGGAGGAATCCACAGCCAAGGAGAACCGGAATGGTAGACATGCAAACTAGTGCCAACTTCCACCCGATAACGAGAGACATGATGATGGCGAAGAGAAGAGTAGTCATCATCATGAGAATAGTCCCTAAAGTGACGCCGCTCATACCAGCGATGCGGGTAGTCTCGGTAGATAAGAGTGAAACCAGTGATCCTGCCGTGTTCTCATATCTATCGAAGAAACTAGCATCCTGACGAAGTATGGCTCGAAAGGCTTGGTCGCGCACACGCTGGACCAGACGTTCGGAGCATACAGCAAATGCAACGCCCTGTAGGCCAAAGGAGATGCACTGGACAAATGCGAGAACCAAATACATCAAGCTCCAAAAGTCCGAGTCTTTCTTAATTTGCAGTCGATTGGCGTCGGTGACAGGATGTGATAAGATAGAGACTTGCTTGGCATAAAAAACTAAACATCGATGGTCAGTAGGTGTGACTTGGTGGGTGGGAAACGTAGAATAATGTGTATCTTACTTGCGCTAACGGGTGTCCCGGCCCCGCAAATGGCCGAGAAGATGAAACCAGCTACCATCAGCTTCCACTCTGGCTTGTTCAATGCCGCCACAAACGATATCAAGGTCCAAACCCCGTATCGTTGGTCATCTTTAGTTGGCTTCGAGGCGTCAGAATACATTTGAGTGGCTGATTGTTTCTCTGCCAGGGGCAAGGCTAGCTCCTGCTCGGAGCGTTCTGCCTCTATTTCTGCGGTCATTGCCTCGGTTGTGGCGATTTCCTGTGCTGTCACCAATTTGAAATAGGCCCCTTCCTTGTCCCCCAACAGGCCATCGTGCGTTCCTTGCTCGATGATGCGACCATGAGACATGACTATGATATTGTGTGCATCTTTGATGGTAGACAGGCGATGGGCAATGGAAATGGTTGTACGACCGGCAGAGGCGACTTCTAGTGCTGCTTGTACGATACGTTCCGATTTCGTGTCAAGCGCGGAGGTAGCTTCGTCGAGGAGAAGAACTATTGTTTGTAAGAATTATGCTACATCTCAAACTATCTGTGAGTCGGTCTGTTCTACTTACTCTTTGGGTCGCAGACGATAGCGCGAGCGATGGCAATGCGCTGTTTCTGACCGCCAGATAGCAGGAATCCTCCTTCACCAACGTCCGTATCATAGCCCTTTGGCAAAGCAGTTATAAAATCGTGAGCGTTAGCCTTCTTGGCGGCTTCAACAACGACATCTCTCTGCTTCTCTTCACTCTTGTCTTCAAAGGATGTGCCCACCAAGCCATAACGGATGTTATGGTAAACAGTGGTACCAAATAGTGTTGGTTCCTGGCTGACTAAAGAGATCTGCTGTCGGAGCCATTTAAGATTGAGCCTGCTAATATCATGACCGTCGAGATAAATTTTACCTTTCACTGGCTCGTAAAAGCGTTCGATAAGGCCAACAATGGTGCTCTTGCCGGAGCCTGATCCGCCAACGAGGGCTGTGGTCTTGCCAGCGGGAATGTCGAGGCTCGTTTCGTGTAGGACAACGACTTTAGGACGGGACGGATATATATGTTGAACATTTTCCAGTCGTATGTGGCCATTGACGTGGTCCAGCTTCTCTCCATCCTCGCTGGTTGGGTCAATGGGAGAGACACGAGCGATAGTGCTAAAGATCTTTGTAGAAGCTGCGACGGCCGTCATTAGAGCTTGGATATTAGGCATAATGCCACCGAATGACGAAGAGCCCATCATGACGGACATGGTAATGATAAGAAGCTTGGATATTGGGATTTCGTCATTCACGAGGAAACGACTTCCTTGCCAAAATGCTAGAGAGTAACTCAGGAAGAAAATGAGCCACATGGTAGCAATCATCAAAGCTGATGCCCATTTTACCCTGAGGCCGTGATGCTCTGCCTTCTGGAGGTGCTTGTCGTACTTTCTAGCCATGCGATCCTGTGTGCCGAATGCGATCGTGTTCCGGATAGAGCTTATTACCTCACTCGCCAGACTACCACCCTCAGCATACGATGCGAGGGAGACTCTGCTATACTTGATAATTCTTCTTGTTCCCAGCCGCACGTTCAATGTCAGTGCGACCACAGTACAACACAGAATCAAAGCTAGCTTCCAGTAGGTGACGAAGCCGATGACAAAGGCTGCCACGAAGGTCGCAAGAGCCGTGAGAGACAGGGCTAGTTTTTGCGAGATCCCGTCCTGGATTAGATTGGTGTCCGAGGTGATATGGGTTGTGACCTCGCCAGCACTGATTTTGTCAAAAAATCCAATGTTCTGACTCATACAGCTTTCAAAGTACCGCGTGCGAATTTTGGCAGTGATGTGCTCGCCGGTGTACATGAAGCCAATAGTGCAGAAATAGGTGACCACAAACTCTCCGATTGACAAGTACACGTAGTAGAGCACAAAACCGCTCAGCTTCTGGACGAATTGATCGTATGTCTCAGTGCCGTCACCATAAAGGAAGTTCTGAAAGACGTTTTGGAGGTTTCCAAAGATGACTGTCATCAAGGGCAAGGCAGCGCCTGCTGCAATTGCGCAAAACGCCGAGATTGCGATTATGATGATGTCCTTACGCGACGCGTAGCCATATATCATCAGGACAGATGTCTTGACCTCTGTGTAAGATATCTGCCGTTCAAGGATCTCAACCTGTTCCGGCAGCAGATGTTGATACGGTATGTTAGCATCGTCCTTGTTATTATCGCCATCGGAAACAGTCGTGGTAGCGGGCTGCTGTACCTTGTCATTCTTTTCGGACATGGTACTGCCATCGTGCGGCTGAGCGGGCTTCGAAGACGGCCCGGAAGCTGTGTGCTGGACGGCCTTTTCATTGAATGCAGCGGCCATGGGTACGGTAGACCGGTTGTTTTGCAGTAGCTGGTGTTTGGCAGTTGAGGGCTTAGGGTTTTAGGGTTAGGGTTAGGGTTAGGGTTAGGTTAGGGTTAGGGTTAGGGTTAGGGTTAGGGTTAGGGTTAGGGTTAGGGTTAGGGTTAGGGTTAGGGTTAGGGGTTAGGGTTAGGGTTAGGGTTAGGGTTAGGGTTAGGGTTTAGGGTTAGGGTAGG